TATAGCACATATTGTAAATGTTGGACTAGGTAACTCTATTTATATGTATTGTAGTTATGAGCTTCCTGAAATAGATCTACATTAATCTTTACCAAAAACATTTAGCATTATCATCTTATTAGTGCTCATCTATACTCTCATTAACTTTATTCTACTTTTTTGGTAGAATTAACCAACCAAAGTTTAATATTTACCTAAACTTCAAAATCAGATTGCATTTACTAATAAGCATTCATATTCAAACATTTTCAAAGGGATAGTTGATTCTAATCAATATGTTGATATAAATGGAAAAATACATCCTATCTCTCACTTCAGTTACTAGTTTGATTTAATTGACATAAGTGTATTTAATGCTTCTTTCCAACATTTATTAAAGGTTTACAAGTCTGGACCCTTAACCCATTCGCCCCGGAATTATGTTCTGTCCCCTGTAGTTTTTGGTGAATTTTGTTACACACAGATGGCTCCACGTGTGCTCAGCCGGCAAAGAGTCTATCAGTAGGCCCTAGTTACCGATCCTAATTTTCCCATTCCTTGAATTGCCAGGAAAATGACTTTTTCTTATCAATACCATTGCTATTGATGTTATGATGTTATGATTATCAAATTGTCATTAATAGATTTTAGACAATGAAATTATACAAAAGACCCTTTTCTACAGTGTAGGAAAAGGGTAAACAGGTGAGACAGGTAGTTCTGATAAACTAGCTATTTGGTGATTAAGAACTTGTAGAGGCATCTATGTCTAAATACAATAAATAAACGTGTGTTACAGTGGGCATGGCATGTATTCTTGCCACATGAGGCGAATGGGTTAAGATATTATGATGCTTCTTGTACTATTTCATTTTAAACTTAATTTTTTAGTCAAGAATCTATCTTTCTGGTTCTCAGAATTGTTTACTATTAATCTGTGTGGTATGAAGAAATCAGCAAGTTCTTTTCATTCTAATATTTAGTTGAAGGAAATATAAAATATTACTAATCATTTTCTCTCAATCAGTATCTGTTGATCTTCCTTCTCTCAATGTAATTACTGACTTTCTAATATTCACGTAAAAATATATCACTAAATTACAGCAAAGAATGCTCACAAATCCTGCAATGAATGTAATGAGGTAATAAGACATGGAATAATCTAGTCACAGAAAAGTTATAAGTCTATATCTAAATACACATATAATAACTTTCTTTCATAAGTTATATACAGCATATCACTACTGAAAGGAAAGACATATTTCAATCTGAAAAAACCTATGGAAGTTCTATCATAGTTCTAGTATGTGAATACTTAGCTGTATGCGCATATGTTCTAAGCTTGGAATCACTTGCAAATCTAGAACACAAGGAATATTTACAAACAAGGGCCAAGGGAATAAATACTGTCCAATCTCTGGAGAGAACAAACTGGCAACTCACCCCAGACACTGGAGTACTCTAATTCAAAGTCTCTTTTGGGTGCAAATAATAAAGTGGTATTAAGGGCTGCAAATTTTAATATAAAAATATTAAATAATGTATATAGGTTTTAAAATTGCCCATTTCTTCTTTCCTTATAGGCAATCAGTATAAAGTACCACAATGAGATGAGAAAAGACAAGAAGGTTGCAGACCCAATGTCATATTGTATGAAATGTTATTTAAAAAAGTGAAACAAAATGAGAACAATAAGTGAACAAATCAAGTCAAAAGGAATTACAAGGGATAACAATAAAGCATAGGAAATAGTGAGAAAGGGACACATACTGTATGACAATAAATGCAGTATCAAATGCATATATTATGCATGTCTCTACATGCATCAATTTCATTACTTCTGTAATGCATTCATATTCCAGAAACCTCTAGATATGAAAAAAAGCAAATTCAACCTTGCTTTAAAGATCTTTCTGAATGTATATATTAGCCTGTAAAATCACCAACATTTTTTTATAAGAAAAAGGAAAAATATAAAAACTGTTTTTTGATGGGTTGATAACTCAAAGAGAAGTAGTATCAGGTATTTATAAAAAGAATATCATTTCAGGACAACTCATAGATTTCCTTTTTGCCATTGCATAATGCATTTACAAACCTACTCATTTCCATTATCCATTTCTTGGATCATCTGTTGGAAAAAAACAGATTTTGCTAATCTGTGGCTTCATAAATAACATGGAGTTCCTTTAACAATTCTTGCTGAGTACCTAATCAATCAGATAAACAACACACACCTGGTCTGAATCAAACTGTGAATATGAATTACCTCCAACATCAAGTTGTGAGGGAGGACTTGTGCCAGGCCCCGGATTCTGCCCAGACTCAAGAACCTGTACAGCATATGCTGCCTCAGAATATAGATCCACAGGCTCAAGTGGCTGTGTCAGGGGCCCTGCTTCAACTGGAAGATCTAGACCCTGCTGTGTATTGGGAGTAGGAACTAGAGCCTGCTGGGGTTGCTCTTGGGGTGTAAAGTAAATGGTGGCCAACTCTTCTTTTGAGGCCATCTCTGTCCACATGAGGTCAGTTGGCTCCTGCTGGGTCTCTGTTGGTTCCCTTTCACTTTCTGAGGTTTCATCTAACATCTGGTGTTCGGTAACCTGCCCTCTCTTCTTCTGGGGCTTGCGGCTCCCTCGCTGCTGCCCTAGGAGTTCACTCACGTAAGAGGTGAGGCCAGCTGGCATGGCTATGCCAGAAGACTCCACCTTGGGCACTGTGGCAAAGCCATGGGTGACATGATGTGCACGGATCTGTGGAATAGGGTGTTTATTTAGAAATCTTTTTGTTTTTCCTGGATTATCAAGGGATACTGTGTAACAATAAGAAATATGTTGTATGGCAAATAATGAATAAGATGACAATGATAATAATAATGGTAAAAATAAAGATACACAAAGATAAAGATGAAGATTGTCATGATGAAGATGATGAGGATTATGACAAGAATGATGCTAGCAGTAGATAAAAAATTACATCAAACATCATATCTATCAGAAAAAAAACTGTTGAATAAAATGATATCAATAATCACTATTATCCTGACTACAAACTGTGGGAGATAGCAAAGGCATTAGTAAATGACTACACTAATACACATCTAAAAAATACAGAACATTAATCAACCAAAAATATTTTTTGCTTACCTCATTTTGGCCAATGGCAGTGAAGTTACAGTAACCGCATTTGTAAGGTTTGTAGCCATAATGACTATACAAGTGCCTTCTTATTGATGGTGTGTGAATCTGCAGTTGCTTATAACAAATGGGACAATGGAATGTTGAGGGCCCAGGAGACACATTAGACACCACAGTTGAGGTAGTTGAAGGGGAATGGTGGTCAACTATTTTATCAGCTGCCATTTTGTTAATGGCGACTTGAGACTCGCAAGAATTGCTATTGGATGGTAACATTTTATTGCAAATGTTAGTATTGTTGCTGTCTCTTGCAGAACCTCCAGCATCAGGAAATGTTGTAAAGTTTTCATCATCTACTTTATTTGTTCTATTTGGAAGTCTGCCAGCATCAGGCTGGCCCATCTTCATGGAAGTCTGGTGTGTTCCACCTGCGGTGATCCCAGCAGTTTCTGGTGACAACTTAAGAATAATGCAAGGACGATTTGGGTGGCAAAAAGTGTTGTGCACTCGGATCCTGCTCTTCTCAATTGATCTATATGAGCAATAGCCACACTTGAATGGCTTAATATGAAAGTGCTTTTTAGCGTGCTTGTAGAATGCCCGATAGGTTGTAGTCACCCCGCATACATTGCACTTGACTCTTCCTCCGCTCTTTTTCTTCATCATGAGCCGTACTTTCTCAGAGCTAAAGTAGTCACTATTGCTGTAGTCCAGTCCAAGCAAGTCTCTTGTCATGACCCCTGGAGTGGCTGATATTGGGCTGCTGAGGCGCTGCACAAGAGAGTCTGTGAGGAAGGCAATGTGAGTATGAAGTGTGTTCTCTAGGCCATTGGATGGATTAGCCCCTGAATTTCCAATTTTGGTAGCTTCTGGTGTAATGAGTTTGTTTACATTTTTTTTTGAGGTTGTGGGTTCAGTAATACTGAAGTCCTTTGAGAGAGAGGATGCAACTGCTTTATTTTCAGATTGCACAGGTAAAGACTGATGGGTTTTAATCACTCTTTTTGTATCTGCGTATAAGGAAACAGGCTCTTCAGAATTTTTCTTTTCCAGCTTTTTAAAACCAGGAACTTCTTTAACAGTAAAGCCTTCATAATCGGTCGCACATAACTCAATAACAACAGTTTTATCGCTACCATCTTCACAGTCTAATGAAACAGAGCTAATGGAACAAAATGAAGGTTCACACTTCGTAGAATCTAGACTAGTCTCTACTCTATCTACATTTGTGTTACTAATCTCAGTATCTAATACTGTACTGGGTAATTTTTTAGCATCTGTCCATATCTCGTTCACATTCACACATTTGCTTTGGGTTACATGTTTGACTTTGAATGTTTTAACTTTTACAGATTGATTTTCAGGTTGAAGTTCAAAGTTTGGCCTCAAATTACAAAGTTCAGGATTTGAGGATTCAGAACTATTGGGCTGAAGTGATGAATTTGTGACTGCAGCAACCTCATAATTCAACTTTTTCTTTGAATTGGACTCTTCACACTCTAATGTATCTGTGACTACTTTCTCCATCTGTCTTCTAAGATTTGCAGTTCTCTTGAAATTTGGTCCCACACCTTGTGTTACTAATGGTCCACCTTGTCCACATGAAGAAACAACAGCCTCTGACATTTGCTGAAATTCATCACTTCTCATTCGTCTTTGTTCTTGTTGAACATGCAAAGTGTTCACAACCTGATCTTCTGCCATAACACTGAGGGTCTTAAATGTCAAACATTCAAATTTTTTGGCAAATGAAGCTGAAGAACCAGCCATCAACACCTTTTCATCTGAGCAATCAACAGCAGACTGAGCTGTCATTGCACTGGTGCTGAGAGTCCCTGCTACTGCAAGCTCTTTGTCACTGCCCTTGCTAAGCTGACAGGACTCATTTTCCTGACTGACATTGTTCTTCAGTCCTTCATTACCTGGACATGATCTCCACTCATAATTTTCTATCTTGGTTCTTGATTCAAAGCGATATGGAGCCTTGAAGTTCTTGTCATTCTCAATAAGTACCTCTTTACCCTGTGAAATGGAAACATGATTAAAATTTGCTCTGGGCAAATAATACTGAAGTTACAATTAAATTTTCATGTCTGCTGTAAAAATACGGTCTGTAAACTGATTAACTGTAGAAATAGATTAGTGAGACTTTGTTTGTGGGGGGCCGGGTGGGCATACAAGGAAAATAATACATGGAATTGATAGCTCTCTGAATTCTTAGACACTTTACTTCTATAACAAAAGTTGCGGCAAACTTAAAATGATGAAATTGATTTTCTAAGATAATAAAAATAATACATTACTACTGCTCACTAAACAATGAATGTTCTCAAATCTCAATGATAAAAAAACAAAAAAAAAACAAAAAAAATTGTTTCTGCTATAAATTTATCATCAGTGTACTCTTTGCAAACTTTCCTGACTAGCACTATAGTAGTCTTAAGAAAAGTAATATAAACAAAGAACCTTACCTTATGCACCTTTGAACAGTGCTTCCTCACAACATAGGCTTCCCTGCCATGAAAATCACAATACCCACACTTATATGGCTTGACACCTTTATGTAGACGCAGGTGACGGTTGTATGAAGAATTGAAACTGCAGGTATAATCGCAGTGAGGACACCTATATTGCCGCATCTGAAAATATATTTGAGCATGAGAGAGAGCCAGGAAGAGCACTAATAGAACCTGAAACAAACAGAGATAGAGATAGATGACTATATTTGTATTGATTAACCCACTTGGTACGGAAGGCAAAAATACATGCCGTGCCTATGGTAATATATGTTCATTGATTGTACTTACACAAAAATGGCTCAACAAGTACTTAGTCCCAAAGAGTCAGCTAATAGTCCTACCTATCTCACCTGTTTACCCTTTCCTTTAATTTTAGATTTTTTTTTTTTTATTTATTTTTTTTTTTTTTCATTGTCTTTAATAATCATAATATCAGTAAGAATAATAACCGTATCCATATCAATAGTATTAGAAAGAAAAACATAGTTTCCCACAATTTCATGAAATATGGAAATCAGGAGCAGTCACTTGGGCCTGCTGATCAACTCCTTGCTGGCTGAGTATATGTGGAGCTGTATGTAACAAAATGTATGTAACAAAATTCACAAAAAAGTACACGAGACAATACATAAATCTGTAGTGATTGGGTTAATGGTAATAAATTTCAAAATAGTTACTCTTTTACCCATTTTCACATCAAATGATGACCCACAACTCACCCATTTCTTCTCTTTCTTTGGCTGCCGCACTCCATACTTTCTGGTGATGAGACGCAAGTATGGACCAACATCTTCCACCAGGGCATCACTGCCACCTTTCTCTAATGTCACCTAAAATACAATAAGAAATAAACAAATAACAAACAAAGACTAACAAGCATTTTCTTGTATCATACAAAAAACAAAAACAAAAACAAAAATAATAATAATAGTAGTAGTGGTAGGTACACCCCATCTACTGCAATAAAAAAGAGTGCAACATATTTCACCAACAACAGAGAGAGGTGCAGCAATAGAAAGTTATCTAGAAAATTGCTACAAAATGTTAAAAGCTGTCACTCCACACCTTTTGCCATTTGGGAGAATGTGTTGGGTGCTTGCGTCGAAAATGGCTGCGAACTTGCGTTGGGAAAGTTGTCGTGAAGGGGCAGAGCATACACTGTTGCTTCTGACGGCTGTGTTGGGCCACGTGCTTCTTCAAATTCCGCAAGTTCTGAAGCAAAGGGAAATTATGGCATATATAACTAATTTAAATTAATGTTTTGAGCATAAAGAAAAAAATATATATATATTATCTTTTACTCATTATGTTCTCTTTTGCAACTATAAAAACAACAATAAAAGTAGGAAAAAGAACAATCAAAATTCTAGAAATAAAAAATATTAATGCTACATTTAGTAATTAGATAAGAATCTATAATAAAGATGATAATAAAAAGACGATATGTATAAAGCATAGCAGCCTCAATGCTCAACTTGCATAACCTGCATAAGGTTGGGTCATGCCAAATCCAACAGCTTTGTCTCCTCTCTCTCACCAGCAAGATCTTTTCATGACTCATTATCAAGAGTTGACTGGTTAAAACCAGACACTTTGCAGCTCTCTGATTAGACCACATTCTTGGGATATTTGCAGCTTACTTAAGGTCTGGTGACTTCAGTATCATTACACTCTAGATGCACCTCGGTAAAGCAGCAACATCACAAGGACTATGCAGTCCTTTGCTGACTTACAGCCCCCAGCTATAACAGAGGACACTCACACCCACTAAGTCATTTCCCAAAGAGATAAACCACCACATCCCATGTACCACAAGTGAAGTACCTCCTCCCTCTCTTTCTTTCTTCCTTCCTTCCTTCCTTTCTTTCTTTCTTTCTCTCACTCACTCACTCACTCACTCACTCACTCACTCACTCACACACACACACACACACACACACACACACACACACACACAAAATTATCCTCACCTTCAACCCTTTTCCACAGAGAGGGCAGAGCATATTCCCCTGAGGTGCTGAATCTTCTCTGATGTCCTCATCACTCTGGTCCTCATCTTCCAGCAAAGATTTCTCACCTGTTCGGATATTTATGGTTATACTAGTATGATTAAACAAGGTTTGTAGTAGTAGACATCTGTGTTCACACTCCACAGATGGGTTCTTTTTCATTATATTTAAAAATTATAGAAATAAAAAATATGACAAATTCTGTGTTCCACATGTTCATTACAGAATGATGTTGGTAATTGATGGTTAAGAATGGTTGACAGCTTTGAATTCCTAAATTCCTTCTTTTATTGCTGGAATTTAATACATCTTGATAAAGATAACATGCAATATAACCTGTTTAAGTTATTTCATCCTGCATTCTATCCCAACCACTTCTTTTGGCCATCTCTAATTAGCAATGTCAAGCTCATATTCATTGCTACATTTACAATATTCTATACAACACCCAAATCTTTAAAATACACTTATCCTGTTAATTAATATTCCCCATATAAAATGAAATACATGTCCTGGGCAGCTTTTGCTGTCCTTAAATTTCCTGGGAGAAAATATAATGAGAACAAACAGATAATCTGTGTAACAAGCCATTCTGCTAAAGGATATATCCTTCATAAAATACTATCATGCCATAACATTGGCTTATCTTGTACAAACACAAGATTTACAATACATTCTCCACTTTACTGTATATGAAACTAGTGTGAATCACCTATCAACATGTCACCTTTTGTTCTAAAAATGTGGAACATTTAGCACACACAGAGGTTGACAGTTACACAAATGTGATGCCCACAGTTTTGTACTGCATGGATGTGGAATCATAACAGTGTCTATACAACCATTAGTCAGGTGAGGTGTTTTGTACTGTTCCATTAAGTATTTTGCACTTTTCTATACTATATATAGTATGTTTACTGCATTATGTTGTACTTACTATTTTAGACTATTCTGGGTCATATGTAAATTTATGTACTTCACTGAGGTGGAAGTTCTGATATTTTTTCTTTAAAAAGATGAAGAAAAACTGTGGCTATTTGATTATTTACACATACACTCCGAAACTGTATCTTACCATTTCAGTAAATATCTAAAATATTTTTTTTTTTTTTAATCATCTACCTTTTCAGATTTCAAACAGTCTGGCAAAAATAGGAAAGCCAGTGAAACAAGACATAATATTGCATTGATTAAGAGAACACACAGCTACAACTCTACAGACATTAATCATCAAACTAAATTCTGGGAATATTCAATGAAATCCGAAAGCAGTACAGTTTCATAATCCACAAAAGTGGAATCATAACTGTCTAAGCATATTGGTGTGGTCTATACAGCCACTGGTCAGGTGAGGTATTTATTTTATACATACCTAATTCATCATTTTCAGAGAGGATGAGGGAAACGTCTATGATTCGATATTTGGATGTGCCATGCTTCTTGCGAATGTGATGACGCAGTTGATTGTGATCCTGCCCCATGAATACACAGTACCCGCAGCGCAAGGGAAAGAAAGTGTTGTGGGATTCCCTAATATGCTGGGAAGAAATAAATCTGTGTCAGTATTCAAGTACATAAACAACTCTCATTCATAGGATGATGGTAGTGCAAATATTACCCCAATGACACTGGGTAACTGCAATGTCTACAGTAGATTTATCTTATGAATTTTGATGACACACATATGGCTGCACATGCACTTAGTCAATGAGTCAACTGATATCTCCATTCCTTGAAACTTAGCGTTATTAATATCATTACTATTATCATTACTGACAATGAGATTACAATAATGTTATTATCAATACTAAATAAGAAAGAAAAAATAGCTATAATATTTTCATAAATCAAGGAAAAAGATAAACAGATGAGATCAGGTAGGACTAGTAATAGACTCCTTAGCGACTAACATTGTGGAGCAAACTATGTGTAAATAAAATTAGAATCATTAACCCATTGCCGAGACTTTACTTTTTTTATTGTTTTTACATGTAGATGGCTACACTTGCACTAAATCACCAAAGAGCCAATTACGAGTACTGCCTGTCTCACCCGTTCACCTTTTTCTTTAATTTTCGAAAAAATTTTATGTTATTTTATTTTGCTATTACTAATGTTTAAAACATTATAGTAATTAGGGAACGTTCACATATTATCTCAGCGGCCTAGGGGGGGGAGGAGGGTATGGAAAATCTGACAAAAGCTGACATGAAAATCGGGGGGGAGGGGGGGGGAGGGTCATAAACTTACGTCAGCATGTGTCAAAATTTTATTTTGAGAAATTATTATGAACTTGGTGTATGGGCTACTCATAGCACATTGGGGGGGGGGGGTTACCTCTAACTGACACGTGCTG